GTCAAAGTGAAAAAGTGCCTGTCTTACGCCATAGCACACAGAACATGGCCCAAATTAGTCCTAGTTGTGATCAAGGTTCAGTGTAGGACAAAGCCTGACTCTGCTGTGTCTACGGTGGCTCCCTGAATGCACAGCCCAGAGCTCACAGTCGGGCAGAAGTAAGTGCTGCAGGGTCAATACATGAGACATCACTTTCTGTACCCACCTCCAGCACCTATCCTACTATGACTATCATATTTTATCTATTCAGTCTTCATAACAAAATTTCAGGAACTGGATAGCTTACAAGAAACAGAATCTTTTTTAATAAGTTTTTTTGTGAAAATACCATACAGAGGGGTTACAATTACATGAGCAAGGTAATAACTACATTTCTTATCAAGCATTGTTGCTTCCTTCTTTGTTTTTCCCCTACCATCCCTGCCCTCCCGTCTCCATGACTACACTCCCCTCCCACCACCACCCCCGCCAAAGTTGTATAAAGTTCATTTTTCAACATAGCATTTTGTACATCTCATTGTTGCAATGGGTCTACCTGTATCCCTATTTAAACAATTTGTTTTTTCCCCTTTCCTCCTCCAAATTATACCAATAGCAAATACAGTGAAAACAAGGGTTATACCATGGGGGAGAAACATACAAAGCAACAAAACAATCACCTTATAAATATGTTAGAAACAATAGCAAGAAAGAAAAAACCACTTGTGTCCTTATCTTGGGTTTCATTTCGCCTAACTTCATCTTATTGGACCTTTTCTGCTTGTCTCATACATATACTAGTTATTACAAATAAGGGAAACCATGGGACCTATGTTTCTTTGGGCCTGGCTTACTACACATAATATAATTTTTTCCAAGTCTTTCCATTTCCTAACAAATGGGGCAATGTCATTCTTTCTGATGGAGGCACAGAATTCCATTATGTATACATACGTCATTTTCTTGATCCACTCATCTACTGAGGGACATCTGGATTGGTTCCATATCTTAGCTTTGGTAAATAATGCTGCAATAAACATAGTTGTGCTGGTAGCTTTATTATGGTATTGTTTGTAATCATTTGGGTAAATGCCCAAAAGTGGGATTGCTGGGTCATAGGGGAGCTCTATGTGGAGTCTTTTGAGGAACCTCTATACTACTTTCCAAAGTGGTTAAACAAGTTTACACTCCCACCAACAATGCAGAAGTGTTCCCCTCTGTCCACATCCCCTCCAGCATCTGTTGTTATTAGAGTTCTTGATTATAGCCATTCTAACTGGGGTGAGGTGTTTTGATTTGCATTTCTTTTATGGCTAGAGAGGTTGTGCATTTCTTCATGTGTCTATTGGCCATCGTTCTTTCCTCTTCAGAGAAGTTTCTCTGTAAGTCTTTTTTTATTGGGGGGTAGGGAGTGGTCCGGTCGTGGGGCCTGAACTCTGGGCCTGGGCGCTGTCCCTCAGCTCTTCAGCTCAAGGCTAGCACCCTACCACTTGAGCCACAGCACCACTTCGGCTTTTTTCTTTTTGCTTATGTGGTGCTGAGGAATCGAACCCAGGGTCTCATTCATGCAAGGCAAGCGCTCTACCACTGAGCCACCTTCCCAGCCCCTCTGTAAGTCTTTAGCCCACTTATTTATTGGACAGTTGTTTCTTTGAGGACTTGCTTTTGGGGGGTTTAATTTTTTGAGCTCCAAAGGATATTTTTGATATGAGACCCTTGTCCGTTATATGGCTAGTGAAGATCTTCTCCCAATCCGTGGGCTTTCTATTGATCTTGCTAGCTATGTCCTTTGCCATGCAGAAGCTCTGAAACTTCATGAAATCCCATTTGTCCAACCTTTCTTTGATTTGTTGTGTTTCGGGGTCTCTATTAAGAAAATTTCGGCATGTGCCAAGGAGCCCTAGAGTTTCTCCTATTCTGTCCTGTAATGAAGAAACAGAATCTTAATTTTCAGCATTCTGGAAATAGGAAGTCTAAGCTTAGGATGCCAGAACAGCCTTCTGAGTTATAGACTTCTGAATTCTTCGGAGGCCTTGTGTGTGTGTGTGTGTGTGTGTGTGTGTGTTGGTCCTGGGACTTGACTACTGTCCCTGAGCTTTTGTGCTCAAAGCTAGTGCTCTACTATTTTGAGTCATAGTACCATTTCTAGCGTTTTGGTAGTTAATTGGAGATAAGAGTCTCATGGACTTTCTTGCCCAGGAGGGCTGTGAACCATAATCCACAGATCTTAGCCTCCTGAGCTGTTGCAGTTACAGGCATGAGCCACCAATACCCACTTTGTAGTCCTAATCCTATGCATAATCCTATGCATAATCCTATGCACTAATCCTATGCATAATAAGGTCCACCTTTATGGCTTCATTCCCTCCCAAAGGCACCACCTCCTAATACCATTACCTTGAGGTAGGTTTTCAACTTGTGAATATATTGGAGAACCCAAACATTCAGTACAGGACAATCTTTTCTTTATATATGTCATCCATTTCCCCTTTGGTGTGGGCAGTGGACATCCAGAACTCTCTCTTCAGGCCTGGCTCTAGGAGGATCAGAGAATAGCTGTTGGCCCAGGCTTCCTGTATCCAAGTAGCAACATTCTTTGTGGCTCTTAAAGATTTGGATCTAGGCAGGTTTGTAGGATTTTTATTCTAGGCAAATATTTGACTTTTGTGTACGAAGCGCACTCAGAGGGCTAGGGATATGAAGTCAAATGGCAGATGCAGGCCCTCTGTTGATAAAGCCTGGCAGGTAGGTGACATGGGTTGTGTTATGTCCAGGATTTGTCTATGTCTGGGCTTGCTACCTTCTTCCCTGGTCTGCCTACTCAGCTCAGTGTTATTATGGTTCAGATCTCTGCTCCCCCAACGCACACCACATTCAGCATGAGGCCTCGTCACTAAGTCATTCTTGGATGTTGGTGTAAACTACGTGATGAGGGAAAGCCTATCTTGTGGTCTCAATTTCCATCTCCTCTGTGGTTAATGTAAAAGATATTAATCAATGATTATATCTCAGGATAAACCCCTGAATGCTCACCTGTTGGTATCTCTACCCTTGCCCGTGTAGCTCCTGTCAAATTCCCACTTCCTGTCTCACTCCAGAAATCAGAGAAACAAAGTAAGAGAGGGAAAGGAGAAGGGGCGGGGAGAGGGAAAGAAAGAGCTGTAAGTTGCTACACTGGGAAACCCAGAAGCAACCAAAAAGCTGTCTTTCTTCCCCAGGCCCAGACCAAAGTGTCTCTTGCCTCACTTTCCTAAAGACTCGGGCAGCCAAGTTGGACTCGGTAGCTGCTTCTCTCATGGCCAATGGGCCTGGAGGTAAGTCCAGACCACCCCATGGTAGCAGTTACCCCTCATTTCTCAGACAAGGCCATCCCAGGCCCAAGTGGGGTGACAAAGTTCGCAAAGCTCCAGTACACACCCCGCAGGTGCCTCTTCTACTTGCCCACGAGCCAACTGGTTCTGAACTCAGTCTGCCCTCCAGGGAGGAACTCCCACAGGAAAACAGCCCAATCTCACTTCCTTCAAAATAGTACTCTCTGCCACACTGCCTCTGCTGCCCGCCCGGGGCCTGACTAAGTCCTAGGCCACCTGGAGTCCAAAACTGTTTAGGGACCAGCAGACATCATTTAATCTGTTTAAACAGACCCCAAATGTAACCTTTCAGGGGAAACTACCATGAGCAGCCATGAGCAGCTGAGCAAAGAACCATGTAATAGAGAGATGGCTGACCTCAGGGATCAGAGCCTGCTCACTTTATGGAGAAGAGCTGAGGCCACAACTAACTAGCTAGGTGACATTGACCAAGTAACATGACTTCCAGGCTTCAAATATAACAAGTAGGCCTAAGTCTAGCTCTCAAGCTCTGAATCGTAACTAAAAGGGCCAGTTAAAAGTAGCCACTGGCTGGGTACTGGTGGCTCCCACCTGTAATCCTAGCTACTCAGGAGGTTGAGACCTAAGGATCATGATTTGAAGGCAGCCCAGGCAGGAAAGACCAGAAGATCTTTATCTTCAATTAACTAGCAAAAATGCTGGAAATAAGGTTTGGCCCTAAGAGTAGAATGTCAGCCTTGAATTAAGGGAAAAAAGCTAAGGAAAAGTAGAGGCCCTGAGTTCATGCCCCACTAATAGGGGAAAAAAACACAAAGCAAAAATATCATCCACTGGGGGCTGGCAACAGGAAGAGGCTGAGCTGTGTGTCCCCAGAAAGGAGGCCAGCTTCTCTGCCTTATTATCCCATGCCCCAAAGCTGCAAGCCTGGTGACACCAGGTGATACCCCTTTCTTCCCATCTACCTCTCAGAGGCATGCCTGTCTTTTTGAGCAGTGGAGCAGATAACCTCCTCTGCCCCCAACCCCCAACAGCAGGGTAAGAGTCCACATTTCTGATGTAAGGAGCTCCCAATAGGAAATGACACGCATGGTGTCCCCATTTCCCAAAGGTCTGTTACCTGACCCCTCATACAAACCAGACACAAAAACTAGGACTAAGAGACAAAGCAGAATCCACAGTGAGTCTCTGACTTAGGCATGTTCCATGACTCATTCAAATAAATGTACATGTGCACACACGTGCATGTGCACGTGCACACACACACATACCCTGAGCAGAATGTCATTCATTACCATACCAGGACACAAACATTTCCTCTCTATCCCTGAATTACTGTCCAAAGGAGAAGCCACTGAGTCAGTGAAACAAACCCCCACCCCCAAAACAATGGGCCCCCCTTTGTCAATATGCCCTGATGGTTCTAACTGCTCAAAATAAACCAAACACAAAAGAAGAAGTGATGCTTACCCCATGGCATGAGACTGCAGGGGCTTCTTAGCGGGAGGCATGAACCATAGCCTGCGTGGGCTTAGGACCCCTGGGCAAAGTACAAACCCTGCTCCTCACTGCTTCTCTGCATCCCAGGTTCTGTCACCTTCTGGAAGCTATTTGGTGGCGCTGGCCTGGTGGCAGACTTCACTCCTGTAAGTTGAGCAGCCGATTGGATTAACTCTCCAGCTATG